GAATCTAGCTAGTGCCATTGCACAGTTTTGGTGGAGCTCAAATCCGCCAAAGAGGGGTATTCACTGGTCGACATGGGACAAACTATGCTTACCAAAAGAAGAAGGCGGAATTGGCTTTAGGTTGATTCATGAGTTTAACCTTGCGTTACTTGCAAAGCAACTATGGAGACTGGTGCAGAACCCGGATTCTCTGGTAGCTCGCGTTATGAGAGGCCGATATTACAGATTGACTACGCCTTTGCGTCAAATTAATGCTAGTAGCCCATCTTACGTGTGGACAAGCATAACGGCTGGCAGAGAGTTGTTATTATTAGGAGTCCGACAAAAAGTCCACTCAGGATATGAGGTTAAAGTCTGGGAAGATCCTTGGATTCCTACTATACCCGCAAGACCTGCTACTTCTTTGGCACCGGTTCTGCATCCAAATATGCGAGTGAGTGATTTGATCGATCAAACAACGAAGTGCTGGGATGATAAGAGACTTCACGATTATGTTGCGGCAGAGGATATTCCATTCATTAAAAGTATGGCCATTAGTTCAACACATCGTCGGGACAAGTACTGTTGGAGCTATACGAAGACTGGACAGTATACAGTCAAATCTGGATATTGGGTAGCACGAAATATTTTGTGGAAGGAGGAAGAACCTAAAGTATGTGAACCCAGTATCACAAAGCTCCAAGCACATGCTTGGAAGGTCAGGGCTCCTCAAAAGATTTGTCATCTTATGTGGCAATTGATTACGGGACATGTAGCTGTCACGAGCATCCTAAACTACAGACATATGAGATGTGATAATCACTGTCCTCGATGTGGGGAACCCGAGGAGACGATCAATCATGCAATATTTGAATGCCCTCCTGCAGTACAAGTTTGGGCACTATCATCTACGCCAACCAATCCCGTTCTGTTTCCAGGACTGAGCACGTACGCAAATATGGATTATCTTTTCTGGAGGAAGAATGCGGTAATGGAACCGGAATTGGACAGGGATCCTTATCCTTGGCTAATCTGGTACATCTGGAAGGCTAGGAATGATAAACTTTTTAGAGGCATTGATAGGGATCCCTTGGAGTTAGCGCGCTATGCAGAAAGTGAATGTCAAGCTTGGTTCAAAGCCAATGAGAAGGAAACTACGGTTCCATTGGGAACGGAGGAGAAGACGACCAGGACTTAAACCTGGGTAATATATGCATGATGGATGGCTCTTGGACCTCTACGAATGACTTCAGTGGTTGTGGATGGGTGCTAAATGACGAGTTCGGAAATGGCAAATTACTGGGATTGCGTAATTTTGATCGAGTGGAGTCGGCATTGCATTCAGAGTTGGAGGCACTGCGGTGGGCAATGGAGAATATGCTTCAACATTCGCCATGTCAGAGCTTTGGAACTGAATACAAGGAGATGATCGAGATGCTAAGGAACCCTCGTGCCTGGCCTAACTTCTCAACTGAGCTGGAGAGATTGGAGACGCTGAAGATCTGTTTCCCTGACTTCAAGATCTTTTATGTTCCTAGATTACAGAACAGTGTTTCTGATTCTTTAGCTAAGATAGCTAGGGCTTTTTACCGTAAGCTTGTGTTCGTTGGTTGTTCTATTCCGGTCTGGATTCTCAGACCACCTCATGTTGCTTGAGTAATAGATCAGCCGTTTGATGTCAAAAAAAAAAAAAGTATAGTTTTCAAATATGAAAGAAAACTTAGCTTGATCAAACGAAGATGATGTCGATTGGAGATGTTGAGATAGATCTAGGGTTTCACCAATCACACCTCAATTAAAAACCTTGCTCGGTTGGTAATCAACACTAGGAATTCAGGAACAGTGTCATAAACATTAGAGATCTGAAACATTTGAAACAAAGATGTCACCGTCTCTCGATAAAAGAAAATAACAAATTATTTCAAAGTATTTAAATCAATGAAAAAAATACAAAGCACAAATTTGAAATATTAAATAATAAAATTTATATGTGAACAAACTCATACATAAAGCATACACGATCATTAGAATTAAAAACTTATATGCATGAGCTATTATTAATTAGTATAAAATTACCGAGAAAACATTTATTCAACCGTATTCATACAATAGAGAACACTAATTAACGACTATTATGTGACAACCATCTATTAAAACTATAAACACTAAACAACAACGTCAAACAAATGGAATAAATAAGATATTTTGTAAAGCAATTAATCATGAAGATATGACAAACCTGGATTCAATCCTAAAGTATGAATAGTATAATACTTATCGTATTGTTGAGAGCAAAGACAAAGATTTTTCGATGGTAACAGATTCGGGAAAACTAAATATGTTTCGATAAGGGTTTTCGTTTAGACTGCTAAAATTTTGTACTGATAACGTGTTGTGAATCAAAAGACAAATAACAAAATCGATTGTGCTTATTATTTATAGATCCCTTATATAAGGGTACAATAAAAAAATTGAATTTTATCTAAAGATCTAGAAATACCTAAAATACTCTAGACGATAAACTTCATAATTATCATTCACATATGTAATTATCCGTACCACTAATTAATTTATTAAGATTTTTAAATTTTTAGGAATAAATATCAAATCTAATGTTGATTCAAGATTGTTTCAAACCCTTGATCATTGGGTCAAACCAAAACCAAAACTAAAACCAAAAACTCTGAAATTTGATATAAAATCTTCTTAAATCATCAATAAAATCATCAGCCATAAAAAGCCCACATATGTCAAAAAGGCCCACCAAATATATAAAAACCTTAGTCCACTAAAAGAAGTTTAGGAGAAATGTCATAAAATCCAATTTGGACGGCCAGGATCAGGTAGACCACTGTAAATCAGGTGGCCGTGACACCACAGAATCAACGATCTGGAGTTCTTCCCCCATATGCTAATTCTGGTTGAACCTCTGAAGAACGCATTCGTCTCCTTACAGAGATCAGATTCGAATCTGTTAACCATTTGTGATTCTCTAAAGAAGGCTGTTGATTCCCAATCTGATCCTCGTGAACAGAGACGGTGGTGCATGAAAGCTTTTGTACCGATCCGCCGTGACAAGTGAGGAGTTACTTTAATATTCATCAATGGCGTCTTGGCTCAAAGCTGCGGAAGGTAAGCTTCACTCTTTTACGGTGATAACAGTTTTTTTTTTGGAAAGGTAGCGTGATTGGTTATGTTTGGCTTAGATTTGTTCGAGGTTGTGGATCGAAGAGCAAAGTCCGTGGTTGAAGATCTTTCCGAGGAACAGTCCGCTTTGCAGTCTTCAGGTACTCTGATTTATTCCGCATTGTACAATAAGCGAATTTCTCTATTAACTATTTAGAAACATTGGCATTGGCATGGTGTTAGTAGTGTGACCAAGTCTTTAACAAGGATCAATTTTTTTAATAAAGCTCACATCTTTAGTCATGTATCTGTTTCTTATTCTCTTTTTGTTTGGCTAAAGCTTCTGATAAGAAAGGGTCTCAATCGAAGAGATTAAATTCAAAGAGAAAGGTATTACTTTTTACCGTGTTTCTCTTATCTGTATCTCGTTCTCTTTGTTTGGTACATCAAATGCTTGAAGAAGAATGTATTTGTAGGCTCGGCAGAAACTTTTAAAAGAAGAAGCTTCTACCAAGAGAGATCTTTCTGGTGGTCAGTCTGGAGCCGGAGTGTCACAGTCTGACGGGCCTCCATCTAAAAGTTCTGTTTCCACTGAAGATGCCTCTTCCTCTGGGCCTACCTTGCAGAGAAGAGAGTTTCAACCGACTGATGCAGATGTCCAGAGTGTTCAGCCACTTCCACAATCAGCAGCAGCCACAAAGAGTGAAGATGCTTCTGTGGTAACTTCAGAATCTGTTGTGGACGGTGATGCTGCTGAGGCAACTCCAGGTAGCAAGAATCCTGATGGAGATGTTCGTGTTCCAAGTGACTCTTTGGTGCAACCATCACCATCTTTACCTGACAAAGAAATTGAAGTCGTTGCCAGTGAGAATCTGGTTGAAGCTCCCAAAAAGGATGCACAAGGAGAGTTGGAAGATTCTTTAAAAAGAGACCAGGATAAACTGGAATCCGTAGTACACGTTTCTCCTGTGGGAGAAAATGTGATTCAAAGCACAGGTGATGCGGCGAAAGAGAAAGTTAGCAGCTCAATTAATTTGGATAAAAAACAGGAACAGAAAGTTGCTGATGCCTCCTCAATCATTCTGGAGAGAGAGCAAGATCGTAGAGCTGATACAACTTCCATGAAGATTCAAGATCAACTTGAAGAGGTTAGTTAGCCTCCGGAAACGAAAAGAAACACCACATGCTATGTCTGCTACTTAAATTTACTTGTATTATATCTTTTTAAGAGTCTGTTGATCAATCTTTTCACTAATATAGGCTCAGGGGTTGTTAAAAGCTACAGTTTCCACTGGGCAGTCAAAAGAAGCCAGGTTAGCGAGGGTAAGCTCACATATTATCTGCTACCTTCCTGCATTAAATGGGTGATTAAACACTCCTTCATCCGTCAGATAGGATTTACTCATGCCAGTCGTTGGACGTGACCAATTTCAGATGTATCATTTTATGTCTTCATTTGTTTTTAGGTCTGTGCTGGACTTTCATCCCGTCTGCAAGAAATTAAGGCAGAGAATGCACAGTTGGAAGAGCTTCTCACTGCAGAGGTAAATTTCACCAGTTTGAGTTCTTTTTTCTGTAAAAGTGATACTTGAAGGTGGTAAAGTGTACCTAATATTATTTCTTCATTTTGACTGTGACAGCAAGAGCTTACCAAGTCATATGAAGCCAGCATTAGACAGTTACAAAAGGAGCTATCCTCTTCAAAAAGTGAAGTCTCGAAAGTAGAGTCAAGCATGGTTGAGGCACTAGCAGCTAAGAACTCAGAGATTGAAACACTTGTCAGCGCAATGGATGCCCTAAAAAACCAGGCTGCTCTGAGCGAAGGAAAATTGTCGTCTCTTCAGGTTTCTTGGCCTCTCATTTTTCACCTTTTTCTTTTGCAATTTTGCCCAACCAGCGTTTAATAAAATCATCTTTTATCAGGCGGACATGGAATCTATTATGAGAAACAGAGAATTGGCTGAGACTAGGATGATGCAGGTACTACTAGATCTTTTTTCCATCAATTTCCTTCAGTAATCTGCTACTTGCTATTTACGATTATGAACATACAAGGTCCTCAAACCATTGAAATAATATTTTTCTTATTCCAGGCATTGCGGGAGGAGCTTGCAACAACTGAAAGGAGAGCCGAGGAGGAGCGTTCTGCACACAACGCCACAAAAATGGTTTGTTATCTGAACGTTGCGGAAACTAATTATAATGGAAACATAATATCATTTTTTTTTGTTTTACCTAAATTGGTCTTTCTAAGACAGGCTGCCATGGAGAGGGAAAGGGAGCTAGAGCATAGGGCTGTGGATGCTTCCACAGCACTTGTTAGAATTCAGGTGAGACAGGATCCTTAGACTGAGTCCTACTATCACTAGTTTACATTTCAAATAGATTATCTAACTTAATATGCTGTTAGTTGCTGAGTACTAGCTCTATCTTCATACATTGTGTTCTTTCTCCGGCAAGGAAAATTAGGAACCCTTTTTTTTTGCATGTACTACATACATATTCATGAACAAGTTAAAGATTCCTTGTGGAACTCTTGTTTCCCTAGAACTACTTTGATCTGATTTTAATATGGCTGATTTATTAGAGAATTGCTGATGAAAGGACAGCGAAGGTGGCAGAACTTGAGCAGAAGGTGGCCTTGCTTGAGGTAGATCAACCTACCCTAATCGACATTGTTCCCCCATCATATCATATATTTGAACTTCATTAGAAGAATTCGCAAATGATACTCAGGTCGAATGTTCATCTCTGAATCAAGAGCTGCAAGATATGGAAATTCGTGCTCGCAGAGGACAAAAGAAATCTCCGGATGAACCAAACCAAGTGATCCAAGTATGTTATTTTAGGTTATTATGCAATATTTGTGGAAGTTAATTTCAACAGTATTTACGATCCCTTAATAACTATGATAAGTCATGTATCGATTTCAAACTCTAAAGAGAGAAGTATATTCGAACCCTTGAAAACAACTTCTATTAGATTTTCGAAGTTCAGATTTTGGCTACTCAGAGAAGTTACTTTTTTTATTATGCAGATTCAAGCATGGCAGGACGAAGTGGACCGTGCTCGGCAAGGTCAAAGAGATGCTGAAGAGAAACTTTCTTCGATGGAGGTATGTTATTTTATTGGCATAGTGTATATGTTGTTTGTGTTATACCATTAGCTGTATGTTACATGTGATCCATTTGCTTGTTGTAGGCTGAAATGCAAAAAGTGAGGGTTGAAATGGCAGCCATGAAGAGAGATGCAGAACATTATTCCCGCCAGGTGAGATCCACAGTTCCTGAGAGTCTGTCTCTTCTTGTCAATTCATTAACAGTTTTTATTTCATTGTCCTGGCAACTTCTTTTTAGTCTTTTGTGTGAAACAACCCATTTCTCTACTTGTTAACACGGTCTTGTGATTATAATTGATTCGTTCGATGGTTGCTAAGATTCAAGTGCTTACAACCACTTGATTTGTTTCCCTATAAAGTGGTACCTTTTGATGCGCATGATTATATAACATGAACTTAATCGTTATACCCCTGACCTAGTAGGAGCATACAGAGCTGGAGAAACGCTACCGTGAACTAACTGATTTATTGGTATGTGAACTCTAAAACATAACTATTCTTAGATCAGAGTTATATTAGGAAGTTGTATGATAAATTCTGGCCATGGGGATTGATGCAGTACTATAAGCAAACGCAACTAGAGACTATGGCGAGTGAGAAGGCTGCAGCAGAGTTTCAGTTGGAGAAAGAGGTTAAACGTCTACAGGAAGCACAGGTTCGATGTCAAATCTATCCACAGTTTATATATGTACGATGACAGTATTCTACGTAAAAAGAAAGGTTCTAAACTTGTACTTGGTTGATTCAGGTTGAGGTAGAAAAAAGCAGAGTTTCGCGACGCCCATCAACAACTTGGGAAGAAGATTCTGAGATCAAGACACTCGAGTACGTCTTTAGCTATGTCTTGTTAATTATGGACTTTACCGTTACTCAAGATGGTGCTGATGCTTGCAAAAAAAAAAAAAAAAATTTCAGGTCTCTTCCACTGTATCACCAACACTTGGCTACAGCGAGGACACAGGTAGAGAGACTTGGAAGCATATTTACCAACACTGGTTATCGTCATTTGATTTTAATATTAACTGTTAATCTTTATGTTCACTTTATTCTCCTTGTGTTTTCAGTTGCAAAATGCAGTGAAACTGTTAGACTCAGGAGCTGTAAGGGCCACGAGGTTCCTTTGGCGGTACCCGATAGCTCGGATTCTCTTACTTTTTTACCTTGTGAGAATCTTCGCTTACCTCTTCATATATCACTTGGCTTACTATATCTTGACCCCGAATAATCAACATTATGTATGAAATTGCAGATCTTTGTTCACCTCTTCTTGATGTATCTTATACACCGACTACAGGTATTGTTTGGTCCCTTAAACACTGAAATATCTTCACCAGTCATAGAAGTTAGAATTATTGTCGTCTTAATCGCATTGCGCTCGTGTAGGCGCAAGCCGAGGCTGAAGAAGTAAGGGATTCAATGGGCCTGACCAACAACAACGTTTTCAGACCATGACAGATTCCACAAGGAAATGGGGTTTTTAAGTGACCTAATAACTTACTTATGGATTGTCTTATAGAAGGTTTTTGAACTTTTCTTAAACGGAGGCTGCTTGTCATGATTTTGTGTAGCAGCAGTTTTTTTGTTCTTCAAAAATATCTCTTCAAACCGCTGAAATTTTAAGAACATAATGCTTGTAAATGCATAAATGGGGTTTATAGATGCTTAAATACCTCTAACTTCAACTAGTTTGGATTAGAGTGGCTGTATTACACGCTTTGCATATTCTTATGCCCATGAATTGAATACTCATGTGCATAGCTCAGGGGGATGCTGCTCGTGTAAAAGATTGAACAGAAATTGTAACTACTTTCAAACGGAAGTAGACAGACGCTGCCAGTAAATAATTGGACATTTACCTGACCCGGCAAACTCTTTGTGACACAACGACAGTTTCACATTCAATTCATTGCAACTCCGTATATGTAATCCACGACCACGCGAGTTGCACACCTTACAATATAATTGGCTAAACTTCTCATCTTATAATATGTGGGGAGTCATCACCTCTCATGCCCCAATTTTATTAGAGCAAAAGCATTCAACAAATCCATCCGTGGAACCCTTAAGAATAGAAGGGAAATGACCATCCTCGGAAACCTTAAGAATGGAAGGGAGAGTGCATCTCATGTTACACCTAGCACAAAATGGCGTACAAATAGAGCTGTTTGCAACAGTTTCTTGATGCAGACCTTCTATATGACATGGAGTCTCCCACAATGCAGGAAATATGTAATACCATCCCACAGTCATTACATGTATAGAACCATTTCTTTGGATTCAGTTTTGTTTTACATGCTTCGCACCAATATTCTCCATCCACATTGCTTTCACCATAAGACGAGCAAAGAGGATGATCATTGTACCTATGTCTCATTACTTTTTTGCGGTAAAAAACCGCACATGAAACACAGACAAAAGTCACTCTCGTCACAAGTTAATCTTCCTGAATTCCCACATTCACTACAAGTCTTGGAGGGATAAGTAAAGTAGTACAAAGGATGTGGATGGCTTCCATGGAAACTGATACTGAATCGCATCGTACATCTATACATGTACGCTGATTTATGTACTTGAAACCGGTGAAGCTTTGATCACAAAACCGACAGTAAAAAAGGTCCTTCATTTTGTAATTGTTTGTAGCATAAAAGGAAGGTTGTCACACACGAGTCTTTTCCTTCGAGGGAGGTTAGCGCATTTCGTGTGGAGGATGAAACTGCATTGCTCACAACTGTAGAACGATTCTGAACAAATCTGGCACGCTCACGCTTTACAAAATATTCTTTCTTGGAGGATTTCACCATCCTTGTTGATTCGCAAGTTATGATCATGACTGAAATGTTTTATAGTGTTATCATCAATCACCCCAAATGGCGCAAGTTCTTCAGGCTCTCCAGCTGTCCCTTCTAGCTCTATCATATCCTATACATCTTTTCTCGTTGCACATCGTGAATGAGCAGCAAAACTAGGACATTTGGAGCAAGTATAAGCTCCATATATAGAACCCATCCACTTCTTTACGGCAAACTCTGCATTTCCACGTTCCATGTCCAAGCTGAAGGGTATAAGAGATGCGGTGATCGTGACAGTTGATGTTTATAACTTGTGGTAGATCGGTACACTGTCGATGAATCATTGCATTGAAGACAGAAATAAGGGCTTCGGCTACCAATCGTCCAACAAGCATTGCAAGTAAACTCGATGAGTCTAGGAACAAGGTGAAGCTGATGCTCGTGGGGTTTCTGGCTTACAACACCTACTGGTCGTGGATTTTTCATGCACCATTGGCATATGCTATAGTTGCAAAATTTACAGGGGTGAAGTCGTTTAGATATTCCTATCGCGCAAAGAATACATTCCTTCTCGGCGTAACTAGGTTCTGCAAGGCAAGGAACTTGAGTGAGTGTTTGGGATGGGAAGTGTGGTACGCTTCTGGAAAACCTGTGACACATTCTACAAGATATGACAACTTACACTGAACACACATATACTTAATTAGCTGTGATAAGAAATACTGCACGCTTTGCACACTCTTGCGGACGTGACACCATCGTACATGGAAGCACGGGAGAGTATTAGTGGATGCTCGTGCGCGCTGGGTTTTGCAAGAATAGGAAGTGGAGCTTCTCTCGTTGCACAATCCAAATCCAACTTGAAACGACAGACTGAACAATAATAGGCAAAAGAGGATCCACGTCCTCCACATAAACTACATGAATACTTTTTATGGCTGAAGAATTTGAGAGGATGGTCTGGATGAGAAGAGTGTTTGATTTCTGGTAATGACTCGCCACACTTCTTATGAAATACAACATCACTACATCCCAACTCATTACAACGGTACCCTCCGTAAATGTAACCACTTAAATCACACCCTTTACATTTACTGTAAACAAATCGAGTAAAAGGTAATAAAGGATGCTTGTGAATTGTAACCTCATGGTTTTCCATTATGATGTTTCAATTTCCAAAAGCCAAAGCTCTTCGACTTCTTTGTGTCAATCTTTTTCAGTTTTTTTCTTTGTTAATGACATTTTCTCTCACAATACCAAGGCAGTAGCACATGAACCTAAAGAAAATGATTCTTTTTCCCCTAGAGATCTCGTGACTCACGAGCTGAGACCTTGTGATTCACAATGCATGTGCCATTCATAGATTATATCATGCATTTCCGAAACTCGAACCTCTTCTTGATATTTTTGAGGCCGAGGTAATTAGTATAGTATTTATTTAATAATGGTGGTGAAATCAGCTCAGCTGAATTTATATTATATGTCTACTAAACCAAACCAAACCAAACTGACCAAATAATCCGACTTCTGATGTAATAACAGATCAAATTAAGAAAGACTAGGTTAACAAACAACAAAACCATTTTTCTGTGATGGTAAAGAGAAAGAGGCTTTTATACTCGACGTTGCCATCTCAACAGCCACAGTTTTCTTAGAATTGGTTTATCTGAAGAGTAGGGAAGAAACAAAAACTTAAAAGAGTGAAAATTTAACAAAAGAATCAACCCATATCAGGGGAACATCGGCTGGTGTAGGAGTCCGGTTGTTTCTGGATATCCCAACATGATGTTGAGATTCTGCAACGCCTGTCCCGAAGCCCCTTTCACCAGATTATCAATCTGCCAACACCAAATATGTATTTTATTTACGGTACAATGGCAATGTGGGAGAAGGTAAAAGATAAGCTTTATAGCAGGAGGAGGACGGCGTTATATATATGTTGCTTACAACAGAGATTATGATCGCTCTTCTGAGGATAAGATCAGGAAACACATTCATATAACAATAGTTAGATCCTCTAACGTTGTGTGTCCTAGGAATAACTCCTTCCTCCAAAACTTTGAAAAATTCTTAATCCTACAAAACATGTGTATACAACATAAGTAACAAATAACTAATTGGCTTATAACAAAACATTAGTTCAGTCTTCACCTCATAAGATGTTCTTAATTGTTGGTACAAGGCTTCAGTTCTAACCCTGGGAGCCATTTCCACATATATAGTGGCTTGCATTCCGCGGATCTACCCAAACAACAAGATTTCAGTTAACGGTTGGTTAAAAGGCAGAAACAGTTATAGAACATGCTTAAGATTATTTCCATACCATTGGCATGAGATGTGGGGTAAAACTAACTGTTACTTTTGATTGTGCAGCATCAGATAAACCTTGTTCAATTTCAGGAACTGCAAACCAAAACAAAACAAAACGCTAAACCAAACTTTTACTCATTTTAAGATAACTAGTTTTGTCACACATACCATGGCGATGCCATGTGACACCATAAGAAAAAATGTATTCAGCGATTTCAGAGTAAAGATTCGCCTCCTTTGCACCATGACCTGATGCAAAATGTCATATCAATCAATCAATCAACTAGAAACATTCTTCATACTACATCCGCTGCTCATCATTAAAGACAGCAAGGTAAAGCTCAAACCTGCTCCACTAACACCAGACTTTGCATTGATTATTATGTTTTCATGTTTGATAAGATTTTCCTGCACCAAAAGTGACACAATGAGTAGAGAGTTGAGTTATAAGACAAAGAAAAGAAAACAGGAAACCTTTAGCAAAGGAACGAGAGGAGGTTGAATAGAAGTCGGGTAACATCTTGGGTTAGCTACAAAGCGTGCCTTTTTTATGTCCTCCCTTAGTAACTCTATTAGACCATACCCAACTTCTTTCTGAACCAACCATGACAAATAAATACGTGTAAGCAAAACAAATCCAAAATCAAGCAAATAACTTTTAAGGAGTAAAGTACATGTAACTCTACTGCCTTGTGTGGCTGACCATACCACTCTTCATACTCTGAGATATCACGCAACCGAAAGTCCTGAAAGACGTATTTTTTTAGATAAGCATATCACAGAAACGATGAGTAAGCTAAAAAGATTGATAATTTCTTGAGGGAGTTAGTTACCGCGAAAAGATCAACAATTTTTAATGATGTGTGTAGTCCCTTGATGATTTCCTGCCAAAAAGTACACACACTCTGAGCCAGGAAACACTTAGAAAACACATTTGAAAAGCAAACGAACCTATGTAGTTCTGTGAGGCAAACAGCATAACACAGCATCCACTGTAGAGAAATCTGAATCCTTTACAGATATCAAACTAGGTAGTTTCTGAGGACAATGAAGAAAAAGTTTTAAAGACTGATCACTTATATACATATGCAATCAAAAAGCATATTGCAGATTCATAGGTAGCTCTTGTAAATTTTGTTAGAGAAGGAAAATGAGTTAAATACTTGAGCTGTGAGGTGAGGGAAGACGGTATCCATAGAGTGGCCAGCTTTTCTATCAGCAGTCAAGAGAGTGACACTGAAATGGGGATGATTTGCAAGTAGCCTAACAATCTGCCATTTCAAATAAAAAAACTTGAATACCTCATTCATTCATTCTTTCTTTCCATTGTAATATGTTAAAGAACCTTAAAACTTAAGAGATGTAATACCAATATCCGAAAAAGCCACAAAAACTTAAGAGATGTAATACCAATATCCGAAAAAGCCACAAACTTGCCATACAAGTACTTATGCTATGATTCCTTTCTAAAAAATAACAAAACAATTCTGAGGAGATTAGGGATATCAATAAACCTCAGAACCAGTGTAGCCACTTTTTTGATAATACATAGTTTTTCCAAAGTTTTCCTAGACCCAAAGGACTAATTTGTGTCGCTGCACTCCGAATGTGAAATTGCAGTGGCCAGAGCGAGTCGAACTCAGGTGGCCGTACCTGCCGCTGCAGGCCGTTTACCACCAGACTAACTCATCTGGTTCCAGTGTAGCCACTTGCACCAAAAAGACCAATCCGAATGTCCTTTGAAGCAGAGCTATTGGCTGAAACTCTGAAGCGGGACCCCAAAGTAAGACTATTGGCTCGCTTATCAATCTTCCCATCTCCCTAATTAATTACAAGTAAATAAACAAAATTGAAAGGCTGTAAACTACACAATGTTCTTTAAAAAGGAATCAAAACTACATTTGAATTTCATCAATGTTGATTCAGTGGAAGAACAAAAAAAAACAGAGAACTGGAAAGAGAGATAGAGATTAGTAGAAATGCCATCACTTTGAACCAGCAGCATCCTCGTTCGAAGCAAATTGAGCTAAACGTCGACGCACCACTCATTCTTGAGATTCGAATCAAAAATTCAGAATCTGAAAATAAACCCAATTCACAAAAGGAAAAAAAAACATTTTTTGCTCTGAAGAAGCAGAAGAAGTCGGCTTTTCAATAACCAATGTAGAGAAAAGGAGTCGAATTTTTTGAAAATTGCATATAAAACCTTAGAAGCCACAGAGCGGGAGAGAGAGTGACGAAGAGGATAAATGTGGTAGTTTGGTAATTACATGGGTAAATAAATGGGCATAGTGGTCAAATAAAAGTTTACAACTCTGTAAATGGGCTATATGAATCTGCTGGGTGTGCCTTAAAAAAAGTGTTTTTGCAATGCTACCAAAACATAACTTTATAATTAGGTAATACACTATTCTAATAAAAGTTTACAATGCTGTCAAATAAAAGTTTAATATCAAAATTTACTGTGCTACACTATTCTAAATAATATTAAGACACTGCTACCCCTATTCCTATCTACCACCATCTCTTACCAAATCTACCATAATCCTTAGGAAATATTTTCTCTGATTTTTACTTCACTCCATGTTGGGGTCAAAATCGGTACGACGGAATTAATAGCCAAAACTCCCCGCGAAAATACAAAAAGAACAGTTTTATAAAACCCGAGGAATAGTTTTATAAAACTCAAAGTCATTTATAAAACTCGCAGACCGTTTTATAAAACTCGAAGATCGTTTTATAAAACTCGAAGGTCGTTTTATAAAACTCGAGAAATCGTTTTATAAAACTCGAGAATCGTTTTATAAAACTCGAGAATCATTTTATAAAACTCGAAGATCGTTTTATAAAACTCGAAGATCGTTTTATAAAACTCGAGAAATCGTTTTATAAAACTCAAGAAATTGTTTTATAAAACTCGAGAATCGTTTTATAAAACTCGAGAATCGTTTTATAAAACTCGAAGATCGTTTTATAAAACTCGAGAAATCGTTTTATAAAACTCGAGAAATCGTTTTTTAAAACTCGAAGATCGTTTTATAAAACTCGAAGATCGTTTTATAAAACTCGAAGATCGTTTTATAAAACTCGAGAAGTCGTTTTATAAAACTCGAGACTCGTTTTATGAAACTCGAAGATCGTTCTATAAGACTCGAAGATCGTTTTATAAAAATCGAGAAATCATTTTATAAAACTCGAGAAATCATTTTATAAAACTCGAGAAATCGTTTTATAAAACTCGAAGATCGTTTTATAAAACTCGAAGATCGTTTTATAAAACTCGAGAATCGTTTTATAAAACTCGAAGATCGTTTTATAAAACTCGAAGATCGTTTTATAAAATTCGAAGGTCGTTTTATGAAATCCGAAGATCATTTTATAAAACTCGAGAATCGTTTTACGAAACCGCAAAAAACCGAAATAGCCGTAAAACGCGAACTAGTCGGAATTAGTTCGCCCATCGGCGAACTAAGCCGGCCCGGCTTAGTTCGCCGATGGGCGAACTAAGAGGTACTCTTCTCAGCTTAGTTGGCCGATGGGCGAACTAGAGACTTCCCGGACACTCCGCGTCTCGATTTCCCGCATTCCCGATTCGAAACTTACGTCTTTCGACAAGGTCGTGTTCTAAACCACGGTCGAAATATCTCCCGTTCCATCTCGATCCGACTTACCGTTCGAGTTTTACGATAAAAACCGTAAAACTTCGTTTTCTCGGAAAGAACTCGAGGAAATCGTATAAAACGGCAACGGTTAAACGAAACACCGAACATTGCCTAAACTATACGATTTATTTGAGATTTCTCGTTGAAATCATAAAAAACGCGCTTTTAATAAAAAACGCCGAGTAAGTCGTAAAAAACGTGTTTTTAATAAAAAGTCGAGTAAATCGTAAAATCTTGCGATTAACTCGAGAAATTTATTAAAAACGACGTCAGATCAGGAAACGATCCCGTAAAAAGTCGGAAAACGGTTTTTATCGCAAAACGGCCTGGAATGACCTAAAACGCGATAAAAACCCATCTCGCGATTTCAACGGAATCTAACCCGCAGATTTGATTACGTTTTGACGATTTACTCGCAGAAGGAAAATAAAAGTAAAGTTTAAAGATAAAAGGAAGGTTTGAAGAGAAATAGAATATTTCCGCGGAAGAAAAGGAAGGATCGAGAAGAATGGAAAATTCCCGATTTAGTCAAATCTGGGCGAAATGGAAAGATCGGATAGCCAAGGCGAGGAGTATATAAATAGGAGGTCTAGGGCAGAAGCAAGGGACACGAAATTCAGAGCTCTCACCACCAAAACTAGCATTTAGGAATATTTCCGTTTTTCTGTTAGCGAGCTGCGCCTCAATTAGGGTTTTCGTTCTTGAGCTTTTCGGCTACTCTTTTGTACCAGTTCTACGCAGATTCGGAATAAGAACCTCTTTGCTCTCTATTTCGTTTATTTTCATTCAAATTCTAAGTTATCGTTTTCTTATTTTTCGTTGTGCGGCTCTGCAGATAGCTGGTTCCTCTAGAAACTTAGGGTTTTCCAGAAGTTTCCTTTTTTACGATTTATTTGACAGTGAGTGGATTTCGACACCCACAGTTTGGCGCTAGACGGAGGGGGGGTCAGATCTATCTTACACCGTAGCCGCAACATGTCCAACGAAGAAACGATGACTAGTGACAACCAAACTCGCAACGAACGCGACAACGTTGAAATACCACTACCAAAAGACGCGTCTGCGGCCAACGCTACGAACGCTAACGCCGAGACCGTCGAAAAGATGCTTCCCGAGTTTAACAAAAAATCGGAAGAGCAGGAAAAGCTCATTGGTTCGCTCGCAAAACGGCTCGAAACCCTAACTGCGAGAACCAAAGCGATTCACCCCCGCGGAACTACCAAAATCCGCGGAAGGATACTCGATTTCGGCGCTCCTACGGATCGTCCCAGAATCGATCAGGGAAACGTACCAGAAAAGGATTCCGGGAAAGAAAACCCTGACACGACACTGAACGAATCGGAAAAATATCCTATTCGCGAACTGGAGACCGAAGGCGACGGCATCGAAAGGGTCAACTTGGAAACAAGCGACCAGGCCGACTCGACAGACGAAGACGCCGACGTCCATCCTAGGAGAAGAAAAACTCGCAGTCCTCAACCGGAGTCTTCTCCCAAACGTTCCTTTACTGGAGACGAAGGGGAACTCGACTTCGCGCGATACGCAAAAACCGCAGAGGAGTGATCTCCGGTCACTCGCAGCAAACGCCGACAAGGTCGGAAAACTGCTGGCAATCAGACCGAGATTCGTGATCTCCGCGAATACATCACCAAAACGGCCGCAGCGGTAAAAATGGTGAAATCTCAGATTCACCACGCTATTGTCCGAGTCTCGGAAAACGCCTTTCACGGCTCGTATCACCGAGATCAAACTGCCCGATCCCGGAAAGCTTAAGGTGCCAACTTACGACGGGACATCCGATCCCAAAGCGCACCTGCAAGCGTTCCAGATCACCATGGGACGAGCCAAGCTCAAGGACCACGAAAAAGACGCAGGTTACTGCCGCCTCTTCGTCGAAAACCTAGAAGGAGCCGCGCTCGAATGGTTCGCCAAACTTAGGCGAAATTCGATCGGAAGTTTCCGTCGATTGGCTTCGGAGTTCCTGAAACAGTACTCAATGTTCATCAACCCGGAGACCTCCGACGCCGATCTCTGGAGCTTGGTACACGAGGAGGACGAATCTCTCCGCGATTTCATGAGTAGATTCAAACTCGTCATGGCTAAGGTTAGCGGGATTAGCGACAAATCCGCCATCGACGCGTTAAGGAAATCGCTCTGGTATAAATCGAAGTTCTGCAAGTGGATAACTCTCGAGAAACCGCGGACGATCCAGGATACGCTCCATAAGGCCACCGACTTCATAACCATCGAAGAGGAAATTAATATCCTGTCCGAGAAGCATAAGCCGACGAAAACATCCGCGAAGGATAACGCGTCCGAGCAGAAGCAGAAAAAGAAAAGCTCTCGTAACGACAAATTCGTCCATCACGAGGGAGAGGATCTCCGAGGGGCGCATAACTACGCCATCAACTCCGGTTCGGAGCAAGGGCAAACTACGGGTAACACGTGGACGAGAAATTCGAATTACGATGAGAATTCTTTCTGCGACCTCCACCAAACCCATGATCATTCCACCGTGAACTGCAAAGGTCTCGGCGTCAGACTGGCCGCAAAGTTAATCGCGGGAGAACTTTCCGGGATATCTAGTGTCAAGGATCTCATCCGCGATTCGGACCGCGTCCCGAAGAATGACAAAAATGCGCAAACTCCGCCTCAGGGAAATCAGTCGGGCGAAAAACGCGGACAAAAAGTAGACGAGAAGGGTAACGATGCTAACCGCCGAAAAATCAACATGATCATCGGCGAATCGCCATACTTTAACGACACCGTCTCGTCAATAAAATCCTACCAACGTAAAGCCGAAACGGGCTCGAGTTGGAAGGTGCCGATGGACGATTCTCCGACAGGAGTAATCTCTTTCAACGATGCTGAAACCGGTGGAATCGACCAACCGCATGCCGATCCCCTTGTCATCGATTTGGTGATAAGCGATCTAGAGGTTGCTCGAATCCTGGTTGATACCGGAAGCACGGTCAACGTCATCTTCCGCAACACGCTAGCACGAANTCAAATTCCCGACGCCTACGGGAGTCGCAGTAATTTGGGGATGCCAAAGACAATCGCGATCTTGCTTCCTGGCCGAACATAAGCTGAGGCAATTGGCGGTCGCGATCGTGAAACCAAAACGGGCAAAGGTCACGCCACCGCCCGCAGACGACGACCCGAAGCAAGCAACGGCCGAGAAACCAGAAGTTTCCGCACCCATTGCTTCCACCCAACCGGAGGAGACAATCTCGGACAAAGACATCGATCCCGCGACTGAAGCGATCGAGAAGTCTACGACAGCCGAGTAAGCACACTCGCGCAAACAATCAGAACTACGAGATGGCTTGATTTCCGAAAGGAATACGTAGGCAGCTCGCCTAAAGACGAGTTCAGCTATCCCCC